CAATTCCAGCCGACATTGTGGAAGAGGCGAGGATCATCCTATATTTTATTTTTACAAAGTTATAAAATATTAGGTCCGGGTATGATTTGAAAAGTTTTCACACTAGTACCAATATGATTTAAGACTTTTACAAAAGTCTTGTATCAAGTCATGGTCCTCAAACGCAGCAGAACCTCAACATCAGGCTGAGGGTCAGCGTTTCTCTGACCACACCCATACACTTATGCATCACTGCAGTAAGTTGAGAAGGTAAACCCCTGTATGTCAGCAAGAACAAGATGTAAGCTGGTGTACAGTTGCTAAGTAAAGATGATTCTTGCTAGCTTTGTGACATTACTTGACAATGCTATATGTACTGGTATACATTTCTGTATGAGTAATTGACACTTGTCCATATTGGCAAATGTTGGATTTTCAGTTATAAACCTCTTGTTCATTATTGCTTCACAACAACATAGTTACATTACCCGTTAACCCCAGCTTATTCAATGGTTGCAACATATCTCACTATATATTATCATTTGTCCAATTCAACCAAATCTATCAAATGAGATGGTTTGCTTTGCATTGAACAGTGAGTCCTTTGTACCACCTTCCGTCCCATACTGGACAGATTTTCTGTGGCCTAAGGTCGGCTGGAGGAGAAGCAGCAGAACATAACTGTCTGACGGACAGCCGGGATGGGACAGTAGAGTTATTGATAAGTCTGATAAAGAGAAGGAGTGTGAAAACAGAGAAATGTAGTGATAGGAAAAGAAACTAAGAAGAAAAAAAGAATGAAAAATTAACATCAAACAGGAAAGAAAAAAACAGAAAAACAATTGTGTGATTTGTGAAGTGCAAACACAGACCTGGAAATAGTGTACGTGTGTGTGAGGTCAAATAAACAACACAAATACAAAAGGTTGTGCGCACGTAGTTGTGAAGCAGTGGGGACGGAGGGGTTAGAATTTAGAACAAGAGGCAGTTGTTGTTTTGGAAGGGCAGTGGTGTGTGTGTGTGTCTGTGTGTGTGTATTTGAATCCTGGCAAAAAATAGTCAGTGTTGCGTCAGCCTGGAACAGGTGTCCAAACATCACAACACTCACTTACACGCCATCAAACTCACCATGAAACTTACATCCCTCCACACAGGCACAAAACACATTTCTAAAAGTCAGTAAGCTAACTATTGCCTCTTTTTTGTTTGAATCCAAACAGATGATTTACAGAGTATTGATCCTGTCCTATATCTCTTGTAACAAACTGAACATGTTTATTTCCCAAAATATTAAACTAATCCTATGATTCTGCATCTATGGGACATACAAAACTGTATCACCCCTTTAATAATAGTACATATCTAACAGTGTACAATTCTAATCAATACAATAAAGTAGTAATATAAAATATATAGAGATAAATGGATCAGTTTCATCAAAAACATAAATTTTAAATTAACACATAGAGGCTTTACTACACCACGTGGGAAGGACTTCAAGCCCTCTCTGGATACATTACATTATAATTGAATACATACACTTGTATGTTCTGGTAATGCTCTATAGTATTAATGTCCTGTAATTGTGTACTACAGAGACAATAATAATATCCAATCATCTATATGGAATTACCTGGTTTATGTTTAACGCTCTACAGCTAAAATTAATGGGGCAAAACCACTCCATTACTTCCTGGGACATTGTATTAAAATAACTGTCTTAAGATTAAACATGTCTATATTTTGGTTTAGAATTTCATGAATATGTTGCTGGTATCTGATTACACAAGCTTACCTTCCCTGATGTACATTATTTTAACCTTGTTAACGTTTGTATTTTCTTACAAAGTGCACTTCTTAGTGAAGTGCTTGGTTTAGACACACAGTGTTCACCCACTGTCTGCTCTCTGTCTGAGTTGCACACATATGCACAAATGCTTGTTTTACAAGACATTCTCTTTGACAGTGTCAGAACAGTTTTTCTCACACAGGAGGAACAGGCGTGTGTGTGCAAGCATACGTATGTAGGTCTCTGTGTGTGTTTAAAACCTAATTTGTCTATGGGCAAGCCCATCTCTGAGGGCAGCATTAGATGCATTATGCACCGTGATGGGCTGACATGTTAATCTGAAACTCTATTCTCTGTTGCTAATGAACATATCCATCTCTCTCTTTTTGTGTGTGTGTCTGTGTATGTGTGTGAGCATTTATGTGTGTGTTTGTGTGTGGCAACATTGTACTATTTTATGATGCTTCTGAGGCAAACACAAATTCGAACACTGGTGCCAAAGTGATTGTACCTTGGCACTAGTGTGATTGTGATGTTATGTATTTTTTAACAATGACGACACCAAAGTGTATTGAATTTTGCTCACATAGTTTGTGCATGTGTGTCTATGTGTGGGTGTTTCTGTGTCTGTGTGTGCATGTGCGTATGCGTATGCAAGACTAAGATCTGACAGTTCTGGGTCAGACCAGTCCCATGGAGTCAGCAAACCTACAGAAGGCATTACAAAAACACAAAACACACACATGCACACACCTAATAGGTGAAGATGACAAATGTTTGTTGGGCAAAGAGAAGTGAGGAATGCGTGGATTTGGGCAAAAAAAGGCTGGTCTGCTCTGCCAACACTCATACATCAGTTTACACCTCAGGAGCAGAGAGAAATGAAAAAAAAAAAACATCTCACATATAGCACACACATGTAGACACCACTGACTGGAGGGCCTCGCAGAAGAGGCAGCAGGAGCCAACAGGGAGCTGTAATACTTTATTGTAGTCGAGGGCATAAACACACCAGCCATGGAGTGTAGCTGCGAATCAGACTAATTACCAGTGACACATATAGGATAGTGAGGTCAGCATCATCACCAACTGCTACAACACTGCCCTAATATATTCATCACACCCAAACTTGAGAGATCAGATACAGTATATAATTTTTTCCACACTCCCCCTTCATCATTACAAGATGCACTCTTCACTTTCCAGTGACGAATCAGGGCCAGACTAATCTCACACTTCAACTAAGTGCAGCAAAACTGAACAGAAGTCAATCCCAACGGAGATTTTCTAATTTCTCCGTCTTGCTTCACCTACTGTCCGTTGCATCATCTCTCTGTGTGCGTGTGTGTGTGTGTGTGTGTGTGTGTGTGCGTGTGTGTGTGTGTGTGTGTGTGTGTGTACAGTTTTCAGACAGCGAGAGAGAGCAGGAGACAGCTTATGCACGCCAGTCATGATATCTGCATAATGTCCCCTGAGGTCTATGCCTGTATAACTAATACTTTTATTATTGCAAGAATAAAACATTACGCTGAACCAAGCAGGATTAGAAAAGAGGCATGACAGCCTCTTCCCACTCTCTGTTCCAAACAAATACACAAACGCAGACACACACACAGACGTGTGTGGAACCAAGCAGCCCGGGGCCATGTACACTAGCAAGCAGCCATGTTTCTTTCACAAGAGGCTGCAGTGAGGCTGTCAGAGTCAGCATGGTTTTCGCTCACACACATACAACGCACACACACACACCATACAGTGACATCATGCCACAAATTTAGACAGAGGGGTCAGAGGGTAACACAGCTTTATGTGCTGAGGCTTCATTGTCGTCATGCTCAGTGACTGCATCAGCCCTTATTCAGCTCTCTACATCACACACACATGCACACACGGGGTACAAACGTCAGACATCACAGCTCCTATTCCTTGCATTACCACTGACAGCAAGGCCACCACAAACAGGTGAGGTTGTTTCAATCCAGATAATGATAGGTGTGCTCTGCCCTCGTCTGTGGCAGAGCTCTCAACATCTGGCCCAGACCTCTGTCAGAGTACACTCTTCTCGTGAGTATATCAACCCTCCATCCCCCTTTCCACCTACTACATTGCCATTCTACCTACTAGACATTTAGATCCTCCTGGCATGCTGCCACTTACAGCAAGCTTTTGAAGTAGCACACACCTGCACACCCCCATCATCTTCACAGTTATTCTCGTGGTGATATCCTGGGACATGCAGGAGTGTTTGAGGGGTTTCCCATCAAAGACGTATACTCAGGAAATCTGAGCTCTACCACCCTCTTCATAAATTAGACATTAACGCTCAACTTTTTCAGGCCTAGCTCCTGTTAGTGTTTCTAGATTTGTGGCAGTCGTTAACCACTGGTACTGATATAAATCAAAGTAGAAGCACCATGGCAGAACTGATCTGCTGGTTGGGGCGTAAAGCAAAAACATTTCTGCACCCCTGTTCAATCTAGATATCACCTGACCCTGGAGTAATCTAAGAATATGCAACACATGAGAAAGCCATAAAGAAATATTATAATTTCCTCAGACGCGGAGATTATGGTTTCATCCGTGTCTGTTTGTGTGTTTATCTGTTACACAAAAACGACTGATCTGATTTTCACAACACTTGGTGGAAGGATGGGTCAGGAGAGTACCCATAACATTTTCATGCGGCTCAGGTAGCGAATCCAGTATTTTCTTTTAACTTTTGCAGACATTTTTCAATATTTTTCCCAGGGGATAGGTCATAGATCTTGATGGAAAAAACAGGCACATTAAGGGAACTGATATTCATGAGTGTGTCCAATTTGGTGCAGCTTCATTGAATCTAAAAGGACAGCTGGGCCTTGGCGCTCTACTGAGTGCCATTCTAGTTCGATTTGGACACAGTCCCATTCAAGATATAGCCTTAAGATTAAGTGTGAAAAAGCAGGACACACCTTAGGGCCCTTAACATGGAGTTTATTCTGGTTTTGTGCTGCATATTCCCAACACAAGCAAATGAACACAAACCAAGAGACAGGCAGGACTTGAGCTGTCAGGGCTGCTGGATCTGTGATGCCCCAGCCTGCTCTACCTGCTTCATGATCCATCCCTGAGTTATTCTTCCTGGATAACATCTCCATGTTATCTTCAATGTCATATCACACCAAACGACAAACATCACAACATCCATCTCGCCCCCACAGCCCAACCCTCCAGAGGCCCGGCTGCTCCTCACCTGAGGTAGCGAGGCGTTGATCTGCCGCTGGAGCACGTCCCTCTCGTGCAGCGCCCCCTGCAGCTTGGTCTGGGACTGGATGAGGGTCTCCTGAGTCTCCCTGAGGGACTCCAGCAGCTTGTCCCTCTCGTCCAGCATGTTGACCATCAGCTGCTCGAAGTTGGCCTCCTGGTCCGAGCCGTTCGGCACGCCGCCGGTGGCCCTCGGAGGACCGGCCGAGTCTCCCTCGCTGATGGTCGGCATCACCTCGCACATCATCTTCCCGGCTCTGCGGTCCGGGCAATGCTATAGCACAGTGTCGCTGTCGGGATGAAGAAGGTAAATGAGGTGGGTTACAAAGCGTGATAATCAGACTCACAAGAACTGATAAGAGGCCCTTTAACGCCCCGTGGCGACGCACCAGCCTGAGCAACATATACGCGCCTTATTCCCGTTGCATTAAATCCCCATCGTGCACCGAACGTGCATCCTCCACACTTCCATCGCCTTACCTAATCAGAGTGGTTGAAAAGACGAGATGGTGATCGACCTTTCATCCATATTAACCGGCGTGTCTTCACCCAGTGAGCAGATCCGCCCTGCCCGGCGCGCCATGCACGCACATGTAGAAATCCCGGCGTGATGGTGTGATTGACAGCTCAGAGATAGACGGGTGTGTGGTTTGGAGGGGTGGTGCCCGCGAGCGTGACGGAGATCATAGCAGGCAGCATCCGAGAGGAGACGTTCAATCTGCGTCCTTTAGTGGTGGGGACTGCGAGAGAGAGCCAGTGTTATCTGCATCCGCCTCCTCCGCTCCCATCTCTCCACACACTCACACACACACACACTCACACACAAACACACACACACACACACACACACACACACACGGCCACCGACGCTCACTCCTCCCACACACACAGTCACTCGGTCACACACACACAAACACCGTGCCTGCACATCCGTCTTTGTGAGGACACTCATGGACATAACATTGCCCCAACCTATCCATCACAACCACATTTCTAATCATTCTGCACAGATTGTGGAGACTGGTCAAATGTCCTCATTCCAGACGGTCTGCAATTTGAGACTGGTCCTCACAAGGAGAGGACAAAACACACACACACAGGTTTGGGCAACTATCCCGATTAGGACTTCAATTCATTGTGGACACACACAAACAAACACACATGTTTGTACTTCTATCTTAGTGAGGACACTCACCGACAAAACACATTCCCTAGTCCCTCACCTGAACCTTAACCATCCAAACTAAATGCCTAACCCTGACCCTTACCGAAACCTAAAACCAAGTCCTAACCCTCAAACAGCCCCTTGAAAAAGTGATGACCAGCCAAAATGTCCCTCTTTTCCAAAGATGTCCTCACTCTGTAGGGTCTATGCTTAAAATGGTGAGCTGGATGGTCCATGTACTGATCATAGACTTAGATAGCCCAGATTTAACCCTCACTGGCAGTAGTAGGCTACTAATGAACTATTCTCATCAGCACCACTCAGCACCTTCATGTCCTCACAGCTCCTGAGACATGATGGTTGTGTACTTTGAGTGTGCAATGCACCCTGCAGGATGGACAAGAACCTTACAATTATAAATATTAGTAATAAGAAAATGTTTTTGTTCTTTTCCTTCTCATTTATAATCTTAATGTTAGGGTTAGGAATTCTTCTAACACCATGGTTCACTCTGAATGACTAACCCTGGATCTCACTAAAATTCATTGATCAAGCGCTATGGTAAATATCCACATTTTGATGCTTGTATGTGTTACAAAATAATGTGCTACACTGAAAAATATCTGCTCACATTAACTGATTTTGTCATAAAGCCCCACAGTGCCTGTGTAGCTCTACATTTCTCCTTAACTCATGGCTGATGTTTTAAAAATCTGAACTGTTACCTTACAATAAAAATCCACATGAAAATGGTGACTGGATTGCCTGCTCAGTGCATGAAGAGAAAATGATTATTAGTCTACATGAGAAAGTAACACACTTGACCATACTCAGATTTACCTGTAGTAGTATTTACTGATGATGTTCTGCAGAAGTTTGGCTGCTGTAAATGCGAAACTGAGTATAAGTAACACAGAGCTATTGTGAATTTGATTGAAGAGTAATTTCATATCAGTCAATTTTTGAAAATTGAGTGAAGTTAGATATAAATTGTAATTCCTTTTCTTATACAGTTTCTCAATGTATATATTCAATTAAACAATCTGACTCTTTCCATCAGTGTATATTTCATTTGCGATGTTGGTGCAAGTAAATCCAGATGTGTACATAAATTCATACTATTAGTACACAATTCTGAAATTCTGAAAGTTTTTATTCAATCAAAATTCACCTAGTAGCAACAAATGGTTATTTATTGCCACCTAGTGGTTGGAATAGATTCACTGAAGCACTGTTGGAAATAGTTTTTCTGATAGGAAGCCTTTGCAGGAGAATAATGTCAAAGGGATTTTGACAGGTTTTGTCACAACTGAAATCTGAAGCCTGAAATCCTGAAGACAAATTTCTCCCAAGAGCTTTCCCCTCTGACCTCTTCTGACATGTACATTCACATGAACTGCTGAGTGTTTTTCATTGAAACACCAAACTAGCAGTTCTCTGTCCAGCATTTATGACTCAGTAACTCTGGGCTGTGGGAATAATCCTTTGGGGTCTTTTGGCAAGTGAGATTTACTCAGATTTTAATTGAAGATGCACTTGGTGCAATTGTAAATTGGAATAGTAACAATGAGAATAAATTTTGTTCTTGTTACTGATAATAAAGATTTTGTTTTACAGGGACAATCTTGCCATAAGGAAAAAACTTGGTGAATTGTCTCCTTCAAGGCAAAATCAATGCTCTGTGTTACACGAAGGACACGGCTGTGAAAACACATAGTGGTCACATGATTTTTCATAACAAAGATGCAGACATCAGGGTTTCATGGGTTAATTTCTCCTGACATCTCCTCTGACACATCTGTTAAGTTGGAGGAAATGAGACAATCAAAGTTCTGATAATGTAATTGTCAGGGAGGTCGGAGCATCACCTTTGCTTTTTTTTGGTCAGAGATTTCTCCCAAAAAACTAATTTCACTTGCCCTTGGAGACTTGGCTCTGTGCCGCTGAGTTTTCAGGTCTTCAGCCAGTCTGCGGTGGCCTGCAGCACAGATAGGAAATACTGAACACAGGACCTTTTTAGCATTATGATAACATTGTCAGAGGTAATGATTTCTGTCCGTGTCTTCCTTCTCTGACAGATAGTTATTATGGAAGTCTAAGAGGCTCAGTGATGCATAGGGAAGTTTTAAACGCCTGTATTAGCACCTTTATGAGTGGCAGAGTGAAAGATTCACTTTCCTTCACCCTCAAACGAGATTAATTCTTGCAATTCGCATATCAACCGACAGATGGCAGTAAGGCGAAACAAGAAAAGGAAAAACAAACGATAATCTCGCGATACTTGTGAGCCCACGTCATTCCATGATGGCTGAAGATCCTGGCGGAACACTTTTCAATTTCTCTCTCATTTTTCTTTCTTTCTCTGTACGTCAGCTTGCCATAGAGGCATGGCAGGACTCACAGCCCCGCTAAGCGTTCGCAGATCATTGATGTCGACATGCCCAAGAAAGGGAACCGAAAACGGCTGAAATTTAAGGCTGGGGACGTTTGTTCGGAATCAGGCAGGTTACGTTTACGTTAGCTTACTAGCTAGCTAGCCCGCCCACTGTTAGCACTCCGCTGCACCTGCAATAGTTCGACCCCTCGCTGAATAAGCTTTATTTTACCCACGTGTGAGACATTATATGAGAAGTGGTGCCTTTCTCTGGTTAAAGTGAGCTGTGCTGATGTGTGCTCAAGAAAAAAAACAACCTCAGAAACTCTATTTATTAGAAAATACGCTGTTTCTTCCCCAGTGACGGTTGCTGATTATGCTGATGCCGACCCAGCTGTTGTGAAGTCGGGGAGGGTGAAAAAGGCTGTCGTGAATGCAGTTGCTAAAGAAGGTAAAGCTGTGATAGTGTTCAGTGTAGGGCTGGATCATATGGCCAAAAATTAAACGTTCATGTCAATAAATCTCGATAATGATCTCGATTAATGTCAGGTTACTGTTTATTTAAGTTTAAGTTTAAAACAGATTTTTGCTCCTTGGGTAATAAAGTAGAGAATGAAAAACACTCGATGAACAGAAAAACATATTGTAGATCTGAAGTCAGATAACATATATATTTATATCAACATGTAGTGAAGCTTTCTTATATTGCTATTCACAAACAATATACTGCTGTTATTATTGTCTTAAAGCCCAGCGCTAGTTCAGTTTCACTTGACCTTGTCTGATAGAGGGGACCCTCGTGCTTTACTTATGATTATGTTGTCTCTATCCAGTGAAATCCCTCTGTGGCCTCGAGGCGTCTCAGGGGGCGGTAGAGGAAGTCCTCTCATCTGCTGTGAGTGTCAACACAGACGCTTTGGACAGCAGTTTAGACCTGGACGCTGAAGAAGATGGAGAACCTGAAACTAAAGTGGCCCACAAGAAGAAAAGCAAGAGAAGAAAAGGTATTATTATTATTTTCTTCATGATGGTTAAATAGATATATTATTTATGACTTGAGATTTCTTGGTTACTGTAGTGTTTGCACGTTGTCTTCTCAGAGAGCAGTGAGAGCAGCGATGGGGGGGAGTATCCAGTGGATATTTGGTTAGTGCTCTCCTCCTATATTCGGCCTGAGGATGTGTGCACATTTGCGCTAATCTGTAGAAATGCCTGGACAGTCACTTGCACTGCAGCTTTTTGGACCAGGCTGTATAGAAGGTGAGGCGGATTTGCTGATTGATTGTGCAAACTTAATTAGAATTTTTTTAAACCAAAGAATGAATTGAAGGCAATCTTTAATTGATCTCGTTTGAGCCATTCAGTCCAAAGCTAATTTGCTAATTCATTCAAATGCTCATAAAACTGTTTTATGCTGTCCATGGTTTCTTACTCGGTTTTTTAAATGTTACAAAAATGATTTAAAAAAAATACTCCAGTGTTAAAAACCATCAAACTGAGGATCTTATCCATTTTTTGCAGTGTTTACGAGGAGATAAAATATTTTGAATCTGTCCCAATAAATTAGCAGTGATGTTGTGAAGTGATGAAGCAAATTCACATATAATTAACAAGTTTTCTTTCCCTGTCATTTTCAATCTCTCTATCTTAAAGACATTATAGGATTGATGTTGATCTGCCATTTCGTCTCCAGCCTTACTCTATTGATATGATGCACCGTCTACGGGCCCGTGTCATTCGCTCCCTTTTCCATTTGTATGAGCCATTCAGCTTGCGTGTCTCGAAAATTCCTGCCCTGCCAGAATCCACGCCCACCACTTTGATCAACTCAAGGGTAAATGAAAAGATGTGTGACTGTAGTCGTTGTGTTAAGTAAGGAATTCAGAGCTATAGTTTTGTTTTTATTTAATTTCCATTCCCTGATCTGCTTGCATGTTACATGTGATAAGCTCGAGAGGTCTTTGTCTTTTTCATGTGAATGTCGTCATGACTGGAAAGCAAAACTCAATTTTAATTTGGTCTATTTAAAACCAGCTGTGAAACACCAAGACAAAACACTGACCTCCCCGCCTTCACTGTTGAATGCTATATTTCTGTTGTTGCAGTGTTTGCTCTTCTGGGTCAAAAGGGTGTCAGGGACTCGACCAGAGGCATTGTGGGAGTTCAACTTCAAGTTTATAAAGCAGGTAAAGGGCTTCCTCTAAACAAATTACATTTCTTTGAAATATATAATCTCCATAACAAGTTGGTAATGACTTACTGTGACTCCTGTTTTCATGTTTACATTTGTGTATTTCTATGTTTGCCTCCATCGCAGCGGGGACCCAGTAAAAATGGTTGTGCCAAGTCCTTGTGTTTGCCCAGACAATACGAACATGTCCACACAAACCCAGACACTGACTGCTATGTGCTTCAGGTCACCACACTCAACTTCATCTTCACCCCTGTGGTCATGGGCATGACCCTGACCTTGGTTAGTATTTCTTGGTTGCAAGTGTTGATGGGATTTATGTTGACTGTAAACATTTTAAATAAAAAATACTTGTATAAGACAGTTTTTATTGAAAAAAACATAATGTTTGTATACGCAACCAACCAGAGGGTTAATTTGGATTTTATCATGATAAAATCCCCAACTCTGCTCTTAGTCCTCAGAAACACCACAGGTCTATAATACTAATGATTAACTTTCCACAATGTATGATAATGTACAAACCATTGAATTTAAATTGAATAGCAGTGACTTCAAATCTCAAAATATTCCTCAGATTGTCAGTAGTGTTGGCAAGGTTTTACTAATGAAAGGAAGGTTTGATGTGATAAAAGTTGCTTGGGGTTTAGGGGTCTTGAAAGTGATAGAGGAAGGCCAAATATCTTCAAGGAGTTTACTTGCGAGAGCACAACCGCAAGCTGTAGATTAAACTCTAGTTGGGTTATATGAGCTGTTGTCATACCGTTTGTAGGATGTTGTAGCAGCCCCATATATCTCAGAATGAATGAAAACTGAAAAAGTATGTTTGTTAAAAATATGCTAATTCATATATATTATGTTTACCAATAGACAGCTTCAGCTTATATCATCTTCACCGCTTGATCATAGACTAATGAGAAGATGAGCTTTTGTACCAAGCATCAGCTCATTATTTCCTCTAATCCACACTTTCCTGTCTCTGTATCTCTCATAGTTCACAATCAACGTCAGCACAGACATGCGGCACCATCGTGTCCGTCTGATGTTCCAGGACTCGCCACTCCACCGTGGGAAGAAGAGGGTTGATCACAGCGGGACCCAGGTGTTGTTGGATCCCGTCCACAGTGTGAGGCTAATGGACTGGTGGCATCCGCAGTACCCCTACATATCCTCCACATAGGAGGAAATGTCTCCTCAGTTCCTGCTGCAGCAGTCCTCTCTTACAAGGACAAGAGTTCCACTGTTAATTTCATCCCTCTCACCAAAAAGAAATATGCTATTGGATGATTCTGCAAAACTCAAATCATGACAAGGTTTTGGCACATTCACATTTCACTTCGTTAGATGTCAAGTCCAACACTGACTGGCCTTAGGTGGAATGCAAATACCACCTTCTTGTGTAAAACAAGTTGCATGCCCATTCTCCACTGTGATCTCCACATGCATCTTGTAGTGTTACTACAAGATCCTATGGCCATGCAGGAAGTTCTTCCTGCATGGCCATAGGACTTTCACTGCAGAATCATCCAATATGAGCATTATTCCTTGGCCTCTTCTTGTTGTTTATTTATACAAATCTGCCAATGTCCACACAATGACATCAGCAACCCATCTTCTCTTTCAATACTCCTCAGCTTCAGCAATCCCAAAGTCTTTGTGAAAACATGGAGTAATAGTGCTGGGTGTTATGGAAAAGAAATGAAGGTCATAGCCAGGAAATCATTGTCTCAATTGTTGTAATATCTGTTAATATATGAAAAACCAGATCAGATTGTTGAGTAAGGCATATTTCAAAGTCATAGTGAAACTGAATCATGGGACCTCTCAGATTGTTTTGGGAGAAATGAAACTTATTTAGCATAGTATGCATCATTTTTCACAATATTACAGCATTAGTTCATAGATGCATCACACACACGGCAGAGAGGAACACATATTTGGTACTACTAGACCAGTCCACCTTCTCCTTAGCAGACAACACAGTTGTAAGTTGAACCTACATGTGTGACACATTTTGTAGAAGAGTTTCTAAAGCTCATGGATGAACAGGGTGCTACATTTTGTACTAACCTCAATGTTTTATGCTCACTTGAAAGTTACTCTGAAGTATCTTGATTTTTGCATTTATGTGAGTTTCGATAATATTGTCCCAGCATAATTACTCTTTGAAAACCATGTTTTTTTTTGGGATATATTTTATTTTAAAGGCAGCCTTTCTTAGAATTATGTGAATATTAAGGACATTGCTATACACTGAAAGGGCCAAAGAGATTTACTTTAGACGTCACCCCCTCACCTACAGATTCTGGCAGTGTTTCTTTTTTGTGTTTCATAGCTTAAATATTTTGATTGTTTCCGACTGATCATGTGAGCCACATCCCTCACTGCCATCCACCCAGGATCAGTCTCAACTCTGAATGGCTCAAAGTTTCAAACTAGTTTGTCTTGTGCATATTGAATGTAAGTAGATTCATACCAATCACATGCTTGATACCAATCAATTGCTATGGAGGGAAAGAGCTACTATTGACATTGTCCATCCATCATTTAAAATTGATTTGTTTTGCACATATACAAACATTAAGTTTCACCTCTAGACAAAAAGTTTGCAAGACACCATAGGAGAGACAGTTGGTTTTGGTTAGCAGCAGTTGATTATTTGAGTCTAGTTTCCCTGATAAAAAAAAAAAAAACATACTGCACTGAAATAAAGTGAAKCTGCCCATGAAGAATGCATCTGCTATTCTGTCTCATATATATTATTAATTTTTTGCTTCCCACTAGTGGTGATACTTGGTACTACCTGTGCCTAACTACAGGTGCATCGCAATAAATTAGAACATCAGTGAAAAGTTTGTTTATTTTGATAATTAAACTCATATATAGATTAATTAAACAGTGAAATATTTCAAGTGTTAATTTCTTTTAATTTTGATGATTATGACTTACAGCTAATGAAAACCCCAAATTCAGTATCTCAGAAAATTAGAATATTGGAGACTCAACCCTTGTCCAAATCTAATCAGCTAATTAACTCAAAACAACTGCAAAGATTTCCTGAGCCTTTAAATGGTCCCTAAGGCTGGTTCAGTAGGCTACACAATCATGGGGAAGACTGCTGACTTGACAGTTGTCCAGAAGACAGTCATTGACAACCTCCACAAGGAGGGTAAGCCACAAAAGGTCAGTGCTAAAGAAGCTGGCTGTTCACAGAGTGTTGTATCCAAGCATATTCATAGTAAGTTGAGTTGAAAAAGTGTGGTAGAAAAAGGCGCACAAGCAAAAGGGATAACCGCAGCATTGAGAGGATTGTGAAGCAGCCATTCAAGAATTTGGGGGAGACTCACAAGGAGTGGACTGAGGCTGGAGTCAGTGCATCAAGAGCCACCACGCACAGACGTATCCAGGACATGGGCTACAACTATAGCATTCCTCGTGTCAAGCCACTCCTGTACCAGAGACAATGTCAGAAGCGTCTTACCTGGGCTAAGGAGAAAAAGAACCGGACTGTTGCTCAGTGGTCCAAAGTCTTTTCAGATGAAAGCAAATTTTGCATTTTATTTGGAAATCAAGGTCCCAGAGTCTGGAGGAAGAGTGGAAAGGCACATAATCCAAGTTGCCTGAAGTCCAGTGTGAAGTCAGTGATGATTTGGAGAGCAATGTCATCTGCTGGTGTTGGTCCACTGTGTTTTATCAAGTCCAAAGTCAACACAGCCATCTACTAGGAAATTTTAGAGCACTTCATGCTTCTTTCCGCTAACAAGCTTTATGGAGATGCTGATTTCATTTTCAAGCAGGGCTTGGCACCTCCCCACACTGCCAAAAGTACCAATACCTGGTTTAATGACCATGGTATCACTGTGCTTTATTGGCCAGCAAACTCCCCTCACCGGAGACACCAGACCCAACAATGCAGATGAGCTGAAGGCCGCTATCAAAGCAACCTGAGCTTCCATAACACCTCAGCAGTGCTACAGGCTGATCGCCTCCATGCCACTCCGCACGGATGCAGTAATTCATGCAAAAGGAGCCCTGACCAAGTATTGAGAGCACATATAGGCTGACATTTCTGTATTAAAAATCCTTTGTTTTATTGGTCTTATGGAATATTCAAATTTTCTGATAAATAAAAAATAAAAAAATAAAAATCTACTCTAGTAATGTACATGAATATGCATCTAATTACAGTAAGAGTGAGCATACTTCATAACATCCCACCGCATATTATTGCCTGTACTCTTCAAAACCATGGAGATCAGTTCAATGTAAAATGCAAAAATGTGAATTTGGGAATTTGTTTTGGGAATCAACAACAGCACATGGACTCGCTGAGTAAAAAGGGAGAGGAAGACCTTTGAAATATAGCTCATATAAAATATATACCTGTTGCAGGTCTACTGATCACATTGTACTACACAAATAAATATTTACTAAGTTCATTTCTCAGCAACAGTTCATAATAACAACACTATGTCATTTCCCCAGAGATGGCCAAGAGGGTAATTTTCATCTGTGGTCCCTGACCAATATATTGCAGATATTTTCATATTGTACATACATAAAACAATATTATTTCAATTGTGCTCTTGTACTTAGGCTTCTGTCCTTATTTGGCTCCTTGAACAACAGTATTTTCTTATTTTGCTTCATCATTGACTGACTTACATGACTGACTTACTGACTTACACTGACATGAGTTTGTCATGCACCAAACACCAAAGCAAATTCCTTGTTGAGTTGAAAACTTGAGCAACAAATCTCATTCTTACCAAATGGGAAACGCGTAAATAAACCTGAAGCCACAATATATGAAATGACTCAAACAAGTAGCAGACTGGACGAAACAGCAAAAATAAATGTGTCTTCCTTCGGTCCCAGCTCGTCTATTTTGGATAAAGTCGCGTCATCGCCCTGAAATACCCCTGCGTGACGAGCATGTGCGAAGACTACATTTCCCAGAAGCCCGTGTGCGCTCTGCCATTGGCGGTAGCACAGGTGACCGCAGACGCTCCGGGCCGTGACAACATCTCGACGGTCAAAACGAAAACAAATTCGTCCCCGAGCCTCCAGCGGCTGCTCTCGCTGTGGCAGCAGCTTGTGGACGTACAGAGCAAACTTTCAAACTGCAGAGTTTGTGTTTCACGTTGAGGTTTCGGACTCTGGTTCGATTCCCTGTGCCCGGCTGGTGCCAGGGGCTGCACGCAGGAGCGGACACGCACTTTTCCTGAACCCGACTCTCGCCTTCGTACTGTCTGACCTTCACAGCGGGTAAGTGATAGTTTACCTCCGACTCTCAAACTCCGCTTCCGCTCCAACACCCGACACCTCTGGAGGAACAGCGAGGATCCAACCGAAGTGTGTGTCGTTCACTTTACAGGCAACAGCTCAGTGATTTCACCATTTAAAATGAGCCGGGGAATAATTCTTATTCGTCCTCAAAGAAAGTGAAGCCATCGCTGTGCTGAACTGTTCAGACACACGTGGTTAAAACCGTTTAGAGATGGTTGATTTAAACATGTCATGTGTGCGTGTTACATGTTCATTGTGTATCCTTCATCTTTACATGCACGCATCACAAATCACAGAGCACCATTTCTTTCTCTTTAAACTTGCTTGTGATAACTTTAGTGTGAATCCATATACAATC